TTACCAATGTCACTATTATTATTATGATTATATTTATCATTATCATTAGTATTACTATTACTATTGTCGTTATCATTATTTTTATTATCATTATTATCATTATCATCGTTACTATTATTATTATCATAATTTTTATCATCAGCATTATCATTATTATTATTATTAGCATTATTATTATCATCATTTCGTTATCATCATCGTCATCATTGCTATCATCATTATCATTACTCTTGCTATTATACGTTTTATTGTCGTTTATGTTATTATTCTCGTGTTCTCGTGTTTCTTCAGCTCTTTCATCTATCGAAAATCAAAACATTTAAGTTATGAAATGATACGTGTACGAAATAATGCTCGCGAAGCTTGATTACGTGGCAAGCAAAGTCTTAAAAATGACATCAGGAATTTATTTGAAACGGCTTTAAAGACCACCCTCCACAACCGCGAAGTGAGGAGGGCGTGCGAGGGCAGACGAGGTCAGGACCCAGGCAAGCGAGGCCTCGTCACTGATGCTTCCACGATGACAGGAAAGTGGCGTAGCAAAAGGATAAATATAGTAAGCTGAACCTCGCCCGGGCTATAGAGGGGCCTGGCCTGTGCCGACTAATTTTGACTCGATCACCGTGTGTCAGCAAGTGCTGACGCTACAGAGCTTAGTCCTTACCACCGCGGTGCCCAGCCACAGCAGTAACCTCCGGGCGACAATTGCAACTTCTCGCGGCTGGGCGGGGCGCGAACCGCCGACCCCTCGGATGAGAGGCCGACACGTTGCCACTGTACTAGGCTGGAGGCTAGTGCAGGAAAAGGTCTATATAATTACTTACACGCCCCGGACGGCGCAGCTAGGCCCTAGTCCGGGGCCAGAAGGAAATTTTTCGTTTATGCATAAACAGACCATTTCTATGTTAATCTTTTTATTATTATTATTATAATCATTAGTAGTAGTAGTAGTATCAGCATTATAGTTATCATTATTCTTATTATCATTATCATTGTTATCACTATTATTATCATAGCATCCGGTATGGACGCAGGCTAGGACGGCGCCCCGGCAGCCCCTCCCCGGCGCGAGTACTCCCTGCGACTCCTGAAGACCTCGTAGCCATAGCCCTGCAGGACGTCCTCGCACTGCTCCTGGATGGCCAGCGCGTCCTCGTAGCTCATCCGGTCTCGCCACCGATCCGCGACCTCGGTGGAGTTCCTAGCCAGACTGAACGGCGCGTCCTTCACCTCGCGAGTCTGCAGGCCGCTCGTGTGGTCGAAGAGGAACTGGGACACGAAGGGGGTGAAGGGGAGGCCCGCGAACTCGTACAGGCGACGGACTTCTCGCTCCGGGTTGAGCGCCAGGTCCTCGTAGCGCACGAGGATGTACCTGGGGGCGATGCGCGCGATGAAATGGGTCAAGATATACCTGAGAATAGTAGGTTGAAGGAAAAATAGCGAAGTGAAAACGAAGGAACTTGAGAAGCTGGTCAATGCCAACGATTTTCCATAGGTATGTTTCGCATATTTTTCCTTATAGGTATGTATTGTATATTATATATATATATATATATATATATATATATATATATATATATATATATATATATATACATATGCCAGCGTGTGTATGTTTATGCATATAGAACTATTGATTTTCGTAGAAAATTATTTCATGAATAATGAGTAAAAGTATATATTTGTTTTGCTCTTCCATTAGCTGTTCATGAAATGATAACAAAATCCCTTTGTGTCCTCTGCCTAATTTCTCTATTTCACCGTAAATTATCTAAAATGATTGAGCTTTTCTAATTTGCCTATGGCTCAAATTATACCCATCATCAATCACTCTAAAAGTATACTAATCACTTTCATTATCATTCCATATTTAACTCATAATACATCAAAACTGTTACAAGAAAGCAGCAAAATATATTTCTACTCATTATTCTTCAAAAACTCACCGAGAACATCTGAAATATCTTATAGTATGGGTGGTTATTGCTGTGTCCATATACATTCTGTCAATGTGTAGTTCAAAAAAAACTATGCCACGTAGACAAAACCTATACACTTATATGTAAGCTTGGCGTAGAAAAAGGTATGAATGAGAATGAATATCTTCACAATACGAGAGATGTTTTTGACCGGTTTAGAATAAATCTTCGTTAGAAATACATATATTCCATGTATTTCTGACGAAGATATAATCGAAGCCGGTCAAATACATCTCTCGTATTGTGAAGATTCATTCTCATTCATATTTTTCACTTGTTCTCACTTCTTTGCATATGAAAGTAACAATGAATAATATATGTTATTAGATTATATATGTATATTTCTTTCTTATCCTAACGTAATAAAACTCAGGTCCTTGTCACAAAACTTATAAAACATTTTCCACGCTTCCCTCATACAGCGAGTAGCGACAGTAGACAGCAACAAAACATAATAAAGTCAATCTAATTAATTTACTTCAACCCCAAACTACAAATAAAGAAATGTCTACTCGCATTAG